GCGTTTCCATCACTACTGGGCAAATCTGCTGCGTTTCGGGTGCTCCTATTCTATGAGGACCCTCTGCTTTACCAAGCATGATTGCCTACTCCAGGAACTGGTCCTTCCTGATAACGTGTCCAGCGTACATGAGGCATCTGCTGAGTAGCAGGGAGGCATCAATCACTAGTTGAACATGGAGGTAAATTGGATAGGTGCCTGGCGCTGGGAGAGAGTCCCACAAGCAGACCCTGCTGGGTGCTTAACTTGATTTCTAACTGGCTCTGGGATGCCCTTCACTGCCTCCTGTCCCCAGCTTTGCTGGCCGCAGTGGCCTGTATGGTGCTCGCTTGAGTTTGTTGAATTCCTTCAGTTGATGCAAAATGGAGACTTGTACATGTGGTTAGGAGGGGCCAGTCCCTGGGGAAGGCATCATCCTTGGTAAAGTGGAGGGTCAGTGAAAAAGAGGAGGCCCCCCAACGCCATGGCTTGTCACAGTGGGCTCAAGCATACCAGTTGGGAGGCTGACACAGTGTTGCCTTCTGTTGTGTGCAGAGGGGAACTGCCTGAACCTCACTTCGCTTGCTCATTGGGCAAATACGTGTTGAGTGCTGTGTGGACCGGGTACTGTTCTAAGTACTTGGATGTCAGAGTGAAGAATAGAAACCGAAGCCTGCATTCATTTAAGGCCTGGAGACTGCTTTCTGTGTGTGCGTTGGAGTGTGCCCACACTCATGCCAGCCTCTGCCCATTGCTTGGCTTTCAGGCTGAGAAGGACCCTGGCAGCACAGACCCCCACCACTGCCTCTCGGACTTCATCGCTCCTTTGGAGTCTGGCGTCCAGGACTACCTGGGCCTGTTTGCCGTTGCCTGCTTTGGAGTGGAAGGCCTGAGCAAGGCCTATGAGGAAGAGTGTGACGACTATAGCAGCATCATGGTCAAGGCGCTAGGGGACCGGCTGGCAGAGGTAAAGTGGCACTTGGCGCCTAGACCAGAGTCCAGGCGGGGCTGCAGGGGAACCCCATAGGGGTGTCCGCACCACCCAGTGCTCAGTCCCGATGTGGCAATGTTTCTGCTGTTGTTGGTGTGAGTCAGAGGTTGTTGTGGTTAAGTGCCATCGAGTCAGTTCTGACTCATATATATAAAACCTGTAGAGGGTTTCCAAGGAGCGGCAGGTGAATTTGAACCACCGACCGTGCATTTCAAACCATCTGGCAGTCCAGTGCTTATCCTCTAGCACCACGCCAGGACACCTTTAACTGGAGAGCCATTTTAAAATCTTGTATTCCTAAATTTACTCTTTCAAATAAGCTTTGGAGCAAAGGAAAGTCGTGAGTGCTGTCATAGAGGACCATCATGTGCAGAGTCCTGGCCTCTGACTTCTCTGTGCTATCGCCTGTGGCTACAGGACACAGTGTTTCCCCAGGGAAGCTGAACACGGATAAACAGGTTTCCTTTTTGCCCAGTCCTCCTTCTCAGGCTGGCATCTTGTGTCAGTTCTTCATCTTACTGTGCACCTAGGAGAGCTGCGGGAGCTACCCCCTTTCCTGAGGCCAGCAGAGGCGGGCAGCTAAGGAAGGGCTAGAGGGATCAGGAACTCAGCCTGCCCCCCCTGCTCCACCCTCTTGACTGTGGTTCAGATCAGGGGGGCTGCTCACCTTGGCTTTGGGTTTTGGGCTGGGGGAGGCTGCGTGCTGTGAGGCCCTCCCTGTATCTAAGCACCCTTGTGCTTTGGGGCCCCAGGCATTTGCAGAGGAGCTCCACGAAAGGGTCCGCAGAGAGCTGTGGGCGTACTGTGGCAGCGAGCAACTGGATGTGGCCGGCCTACGCAGGCTGCGCTATGAGGGGATCCGGCCGGCGCCTGGCTACCCCAGCCAGCCTGACCACACGGAGAAACTCACCATGTGGAGACTAGCTGACATCGAGCCGTCCACAGGTATGTGCCCCAGTACACCCTTTCTTCTTCACATAGCTGCTGGTGGTGGTGGTGGTGGTGGTGTGCCGTGCCGTGGAGTTGATTCCAACTCATAGCGACCCTGCGTGCGGTTTCCGAGGCTGTAAATCTTTACGGGAGCAGAAAGCCTCATCTGTCTCCTGCGAAACAGCTGGTAGTTTCGAACTGCTGGCCTTGCAGTTTACAGCCCAATTCGTAACTACTTATGCTACCAGAGCTCCTTATGCTTGTATTATTGTCAAACTGATGGCACATAGGGTTAGCAGTTTAAAAAATGTACGGACTTAGAGTGAGAAGAAATCACCCATAATCTCTTCCTTCCTTCCTTTTAGCTATTCTGATGTTGGGCTCCTCACTACAAAATAGTATTCTCACCCCAGCATTTCTAGGTGCCTCCATTAGTGTGATTATGACTTTACCTACAGTGAAGGGGTTAGCTGCCTTTGCTACCCTGTTCTCTGTGAATTGCTCATTGGGTTCGGTAGCAGCTCTGGACACTTTCCTTGCAGAGCTCCCAGCCCTGTCAGCTCTCTCTTCTCTTCGTTTGTACACTGTTGAGTTAATACCATTTGTTTTCTCTTCAGACACCTTAATTCTCTTTTATGTTTTGTCTGCAGATTGACTCAAATCGTTGAAAAATAGAAATTAGCTTGTATCCTTTTGAAGCCTCAGCTCAGAGCAGAATTGATTATGGTTCTGCGGCTGTGTACCATTGTGTCCATAACGCCAATTACTGTTCTCGTGATGTTGTTAATACTGTTGGCATGGTCCAGGAGAAAGCAGCAGGTTTTAGTGGTGTCACAAGCATGCAGTCCAGTGTGATGAAGTTGAAAGAGTCTAGATTGAAGTGAGGAACCATGAGACTGTTGAGTCTGATTTAGCAGAAACCACACGGCGTTGGACTCACGAGATCTAGGTTCTAACTCCATTGCTGCCATAAGCTTGCTAGATGACCTGTAGCAAAGCACTTAACCTTTGTGCTGCTCTTGTCCATCCTTATCCACAACATGAGCTGCTCAAACTAGGTGACCTTTACAGTCCTTTTGAATTCTAAAATCCTAAGAAAAAGTCTCTTTTCTTTCTAAATACTAAGAATTGTGGTCATCGCTAGTGTCGCTGGCCCAGTAACCCTTGGAGAACCAATAAGAGAGTGTCCTCATTTCCAGGGTCAGCCTAGAAGCCAGTGGGGCCTTTGTGGCTGAGCTTGGATGACTGGGAGTCAGCGTAGAGAGCCTTTTATCCGGCCTGTGCTGTGTGTCTTGAATGTGGTCATCTCCTCGGCTGGAATTTGCTGAGCTAATCTGATCACAGCCTTCTTGCTATCTCATGTGTCTACCTGTTAGGCCTGTGCTCAGTTTTATTCCCTTGTTCAAAAGTGTTTGTTACATACCTACCATAACTGCACACAGTGCTGAGCGCTGGAGACTAGACTTTCCCCCCGTGTTCCTCATACTAGGCATTCGGCTAACGGAATCACTAGCGATGGCCCCCGCCTCGGCCGTGTCGGGCCTCTACTTCTCCAATTCGAAATCCAAATACTTTGCTGTGGGGAAGATTTCCAAGGACCAGGTGAGTTAGCTGTGCCACTGCATGAGGCCTCTCTAAGTATCATGGTCTTGTTTTCAATGGAACTCTAGAACTATTTTATTTTCAAGATGAATAGGAATAAAATGGGGGTGGCAGAAGGGTGCAGAAATGTACCTGTTTGAGTTGTAATTTGATTTCAACCCATTATCCTGATTCTAAACCTCCTTTATTACACAAGAACCTCACTTACACCCCAGCCATCCTTTAAGCATCAGGTATTTACTGCATGCTGATGTTCTGCACAGAGAATAAGACACCTTGGTGAGATAGATACATCTCTACATCCATTTAACTCAGTAGATTGCTGCTAAGACAAGAAATGGAATGCACTCAATATTTCTTGGCAAATCCTGTAGAAAGTTCAGTTCAAAAAGTCTTTTAACACTTTGATGTAATGAGCTGCCTCTCATCTTCCTTTACAGGTTGAGGATTATGCTTTGAGGAAGAACATGCGTGTGGCTGAAGTGGAAAAATGGCTTGGACCCATTTTGGGCTACGATACAGATTAACTTGATTTTGGCCTTTTTTATACATGGGTGATCCTCAAGGAAACATTATCCAGAGGACCTGAAAAATAACAACAGCAACTAACCCAGCCACATTCTCCACGCATCTGCAAGGCCTCAAGTTTCAAAGGACAAGATAGAGCCTGGAAATGCAGTGCTGGGGTACAGGGGCCTTGAAGGGAGAGCATCAAGCAGCACTCAGGACACCTTGCTCCCTCAGGACTCAGGCAGGCTGTGAGGAAGGCCTTTTTCAGACTTAAAAGCACGGCCGCTAGCTTTTTGCTATTTTTACTTTGCATCTAAGAGGCCACTTAGTCCTTTGATTTTCCTTCCCTTAGGAAAAAAATCTGAAGCTCAGTTGAATAGAAAAACGTATAGACTTTGTGGCAAAATGAAGTTGTGAGAAATGATGCATTTCATCTAGATGGGAGCAGTGGTCAGCTCTGTCAGGAAGACGCACTTTCTAAAGGCTTAATTACATGGTTATTTGTTGTTAAGTGCCTTTGAGTCGATGCCGACCCATAGTGACCCTGTGTAGGGTTTCCAAGAAGCAGCTGGTGAGCTTGAACCACCAACCTTGCTGCTCATGCTGACTTTGCAGTCCAGTGCATTAACCTACAGCGCCACACCAGGATTCCTAAATGGTTATAGAGCCCCCTTTTGGCAAAAGCCATGGTCTCGCTGCTTGCTTGTTAGCAACTCAAGCAGCTTGCACCAGTGTGATGAAGTGCAGTGGTTTTCTGGAAGCATTTTGGTACCATAGTGTTGTATTTCCTCAGCCCCAAAAGAAGTGAGGAGACAGGAGCAGCCTCTGCTGTAAGGGCAAGGCCTCTCCTTCAGTGGTTTCTTAGGACTGAGCAGCTCTCGGTAGAGTGGGTTAGGCTCTGCTGTAAGGGCAAGGCCTCTACTTCAGTGGTTTCTCAGGACAGAGCAGCTCGCTCCCGGTGGAGTGGGTTAGGGTTAGTGGTGGGAGCAGTGAGGGGATGGAAAACTGGACAGTGCTTTGGTCCCTGTCCTGAGGCACAGCCCCGTCCACATACCTGACTCATGCCTGCCCTGGACCCAAAAGCTTTCCTCCTCCTTACTTATTGACAAAATTTAAATATGTGCCATTAGCTTTAGTACAGATCTTTCCTTACTCTAAAGTCATCTTTTTCTGTGCCACCCCAACTCCACCCTCATGCAGCTTAGGAATAGTATGTTGACATGTCGTCAGTGACTTCAGGGGAAACAGTCCAGACATAGGTGGCCTCAGATTCCCGCTTTGCCATTTACATGCATATATGATGTGTGACTCGGGCAAGGTACTTAAGATCCCCAGCACTGAAGCAGGAGTAACGGGGCTCATTTCTAACTTGTGGGCGTGGGGAGTACAAATGAAATAAGATGGCACCTATACCACTGGTGCACAAGTAAGTGCTTAAAACGTGGTACCTTCCATAGAACTCTGTCAGCAGCCCTCCAGAGCTCAGCACATAGTAGGTGCTCACAGGAAGTCTTAGAGATGAATGGCTGGAACAGCTGGAAGGATATAAAGGATGTGCATGTGGTGGGGATTTCAGAATCCCAGTTAACACCGATTAGGCAGGGCGCCACCTCCTGCCTCGTAAGTGCCATTGCTGAACTTGTGATAAGCTGGATTTGTCCAGTAATAAAGCAGATCTGTGGGATGTACATGAGGTACATTAGAAGTGAAAAGGGGCAGGGGTGGGGTGGGGAGAAACCCCTTAGGAAAAGACAACTGCATAGCTCTAGGCAGAGAGCATAAGGCATTGTTAATAGTTAAAGTTTGTAAATGTTGGCTTCATCGAATGTGTGAGAAAAGAGGAGGACCCTTAGCAAGCTGGACTGACACAGTAGCTAGCTAGAACAGTGGGCTCTGAGCTAGCTGCAGTTGTCAGGACAGTGCCGGACTGAGCAGTGTTTCATTCTGTTGTACACTGGGTTTTACGTTGGTCAGAAGCAAATCAATAGCACCTAACAACAACAATTTGTGCTAGATTGAGAATGGGCTTCATTTCAAGAGACACTTACCTGGAGAACTCAACATCTGTTCTATAGTGGATTGATTAGTCTAGGCTTGCATATGTTTTTCTGTGAGAAAGAACAACCTGAAGGTATTTTAAGTATTTCCAGTATCGTTACTAAGAGTCTCCTGATTGCATTAAATATTTACCACATCTTTTCTCAACTTGTGTAATAGATTGGCTTCCATACATTGTCGATCTAATCGTGTAACAGATGTCGTGTTTTTTCTGAAGAGAAAAGCCTCAGCACGCTTGAGTGCCTATATGTTATTAAAGAATATAAGGTGTGACTTGAACACAATAAACTGATCTCCTCCACTGAGGAGGCTTTGCATATGTCAGGAGTACCAGCAAAGCAGAATTAAAGGCAGGTGGCTAAAGATTTGGAACCTGAGTGGGTCTTTGCATTGATGAGAATACGAGTTTATTCAGAGCATCTCCTTAACCGTTCTCATCTGTGGCTCTGACAAGAACTGAGTTACTCATAGTGACCGATTTCTTTCTAAAGAAACACTCATTCTGAATCTTCCTCACTCTGCTTCTTGCTCTGATATCTGAACTGAAGAGACTCATTTGTGGGTTGTGATCAGATTTTGTGATAGCCTAGAGTCCTGGTGTGGTGCTGCAGGAAAATGCGTTGGACCACTAGGTCAGTTTGAACTGCAAGGTTGGCGGTTCAAACCCAACAGTAGCTCCTTGGAAACCCTAGACAGGGTTGCTGTGAGTTGGAACTGACTCGACAGTACTTCACAACAACAAGAGTTTCTCTTTTGAGATATTCTGCTAGCTTCCTACCTCCATTCACAGCTGAAGTCAACAAATATTTCAGTGCCTACTGTGTGTCAGCTACCTTCTCTTCTCATTCTCTCCTTACTTCAGTGAAATCAGGTTTGTTTTTGCTAGTTGCTGCTAAGTCAACTGCAACTCTTGGTAAGCTTATATATGTTGTTGGTGCTATGTAGTTGAGTCAGTTCCTACCCATAGTGATCCTGTATAGGGTTTCCAAGGAACGGCTGGTGAGTTTGACCTGCTGACCTTTGCAGTTAAAACCAACTTTATGGTTAAATGCTTATCCTACAATGCCACACCAGGACTCCAAGCTGGCCCCTGCACCATCTTCACATAATTGTTGGCATGTTCCAGTCCACTATTGTGGAACACTGTGTATTCTGAGTGCCTTCCCACCAGGGGGCTCATCTTCCGCTCTGTCTGCAAGTACAGCACTGCCTGTGATAGGATGATACCCATAAGCCTACAGGGAAGACCAGTCAATACAGCTGTTATTCATGTCTATGCATCAACCAGTAAAGTGATGATGAAATTGAAGAGTCCTACCAACTTCTTCAGTCTGAAATTGATCACACATGCAATCAAGATGTATTGAGAATGACGAGCAATTGGAATGCAAAGGCTGGAAAGAAAAAGGAAGGCTCTCAGTCATTAGAAAATAAGGCCTTGGTGATAGAAATGCTGCTGGAGATCACATGATAGACTTTTGCAAGACCAATGACTTCTTCACTGCAAACGCTTTTTTTAAACAACATAAAAGATGATTATACACATGGACCTCACCAGAAGGAATACACGGAAATCCAATTGGCTACATCTGTGGAAAGAGACGATGGTAAAGCTCCATATCATTAGTCAAAACAAGGCCAGGGACAGACTGTAGTTTCTCACATGCAAGTTCAGACTGAAGCTGAAGAAAATTGAAACAACTTCACAAGAGCCAAAATATGACCTTAAATATATCCCACCTGAATTTAGGAATCATCAGAAGAACAGATTTGATGCATTAGACACTAAAGACTGAACACCAGTAGAGTGGTGGGATGACATCAACAATGTCATACAGGAAGAAAGCAAAAGGTTAACAAGACAAGAAAGAAGGAAAAGACCAAAATGCATGTCAGAAGAGACTCTGAAACTTGATCTCCAGCGTAGAGATGCTAAAGCAAATGGAAGAAATGAGGATGTAAAAGAGCTGAATAGAACATTTCAAAGGACAGCTCAAGAAGACAAAGTCAAATATAATGAATGTTATAATGCTGAGGAATGCTTTAGTTGGGTAGGACAGTGAGGAAAGCTGCGTACCTGGGCCTGTCAAATATTAAAAATAAAAAGTATTATTAGCAGCTACTCAGGGAGGGAGTTATTTTTCATCCGCTCTGCCTGGTGTATGTGTGTCTTGTGGAGCACGCGTGCAGGTACAGCCACTCTTCCCACCCTTTCTCTGCCTTTTGGTTGGAATCACTCACATTCTGCCCTGCCGCCATTCATTGGCTGCCTCTTGTGACGTCATTGTTCTGATTCCAGTGTCCTCACACTAGCCCACAAAGGCCTGGGCTGGACAGGCAGGGGGAGCGGAAGAGCGCACACACCAGCTCCTGACGCCAACAGCCACCCGCCTCAGCGTGTAAAGGACGGGCTCAACCTTCCAGATGCCACGTGAGGGAGGACCCACGCGTGTGCAGAAGTGGGGCGGGTAGGAGGGCGGGGTGCTCAGGGGAGCAGGTAGTGGCAAGGAGCTGGGGGAGTGGAGAGCAGCTGCCATGGTGGGTGGGGAGCGTTGGGCGGTTAATTGACATGGATTGGGGTTGGGGAGCAGCCAGGAGGTGGACTTTCAGGAGGGTCCAACTCCACACACCGTAGCGCAGCACTTTCCAGGAGTGCTGGAGTAAGGAAGGGGGCTGTATCATGTGCTCCAGGGTCACCTATCTTGGTGGTAGTTGTTAGGTGCCATGGAGTTGGTACCATTTTATAGTGACCTTATGCACAACAGAATGAAACACTGCTGAGTCCTGCTGCATCTTCACAATCATTGCTATGCTTGAGCCCATTGCTGCTGCGATAACAAATCCATCTCATTGGGGTCTTCCTGCTCTTTGCTGACACTCCACTTTACCAAGCACGATGTTCTTCTCCAGGGACTGGCCCCTCCTGATAATATGTCTGAAGTATGAGAGAGAAGTCTGG